AAATGATAAACATCTATTCATGATGAGTTAGAGCATTTTCAACCAATTCTTATTTTTCATTTTTTCTTCCATTTCTTCACTCATTCTTCTTCAACCTTATCCTATTTATTCCCCCATTTCAAGAGAAGTAAAAAGTATAACATTATTTAATGTTATATTATTCATTTCCCCCAAAATGGAAATGAATTTAAGTTTTCGGTTTTAGTCAATCTTTTTATATATTTATACAAAACTAGTTTATTTTTATCTACTAATTATAATTTAAATGTATATTTAACACTTATAATATTGTAATATATATTATATTGTATTAATTAATTATAAATATAAAGTTTATTTTTTGTTTATCAAATTCATATAAAAATTTAAATACATATTGAAATTTTAAAACACGATAACGTATTTTATAATAGATTATAATTAAGTGTTATAAATATAAGCATATTTATTTAATGGTATTGAAATGAAAAAAAATATAGATTATATATTTGTTAAAACCAAATTAATAGAAGGAGTATGGTGGACAATCTATATAAATCGAAAAAATGCAATATATATATATATATATATATATATATATATATATATATATATATATATATATATATATATTGGGGGGGGGGGAGGGGGGAGGTGAAGGGTAAAAATAGGATAAAAAAATGAAGTATGGTTGGAGATGAAACACTATTTATTTTATTTTTTACTCTATTTTTTAAAAGAAAAAATAGAATTGGGTTGGAAATAATCCTAGAACGGATAAAATGTCAAAAAAATATATATAATTAAAATTAATACATAAAATGACAATATGACCATAAAATAGTAATGGCTGTTTATATTCGGGGTCAAATACGAAATAAATATTTGAAAAAACATCATAAATGGTCTCTGTGGTTACCCACAATCTGAAGTTTAGTCCCCGTGGTTTAAAAACCTTATAGATGGTCCCTGTGTTTTCAAAACTTTTGATGTTTGATCATTTTTGCTAACTCCGTTAAGTTTGTCCGTTAACTGAAGGGTATTTTTGTCATTTCACAACCACAGGGACCATTTATGATGTTTTCTTGTATTTTTTATAAAAAGAAAAAAATTAAACATAATTAAATATATAAAATGTCTCTCTCTTCTCTCTCTCTCTCTCTCTCTCTCTCTTCTCTCTCTCTCTCTCTCTCTCGTTGACATCGATTCCTCCCCTCTTCTTCCTTGGTACCCCGGTAACCCTCGTCCCCCTTTGATAAGATTCTTGAACCACGTTTCATTCTTCCAAGATTCATTAATTCGTCATCAAATTTCTATCCTTTTTTCGGTGTTATCTGACCTGGGGTTTTTCTTGTTTTGCCTCGTTTTGTCGGTGTTATCCCAAAAACAAACCATAAAAATCCTAAAAAAATCAAATTGATGCCCTGTAAAGTGGGAAGAACAGCGATCATCATCATCTGGTCCATCTGAATCGATGTCACCATGATGCCAATGAATAAGAACGAAAGAAGATGGAGGAATCGATTGCACCTCTTTAATATGCCTCTCTCTGTAAACGAAATCGAAGCTGACACCCACATCCAATACCTTATATCCACTTCTCCTCTTTCGCCATGATGTCAACGATTTCCCCTATTATAGGCTTGATCTATAATTTCTTCGTGTTTGTTTCTATTGTCTGAGGGTTTTAGATCGGAGAATTTTCCAAATTCGATGAATGGTGGGTTTTCCGATCTAGTTGCAGGTTTGAGGCAACAGTCTCCTATGGTGATGGCGGTTTGAGTTGCATGTTTCAGAACAAGAAAAAAAGGAAGGAGAGGTGGAGTATATGGTGTTTTTGCGCTTCAGAACATATTAGATGAATGATGGGTTTTTCGATCTAGTGTTGGTGATTTGAAGGCATCATGGGGTTGGAGAGTTATAAAGATCTCCCTAGTTCTTGAGGTCAAAGAGAGAGAGAGAGAGAGAGAGAGAGAGAGAGAGAGAGAGAAGAGAGAGAGAGAGAGAGAGAGAGAGAGAGAGAGAGAGAGAGAGAGACCTTTTATATATTTAATTATGTTTAATTTTTTCTTTTTTTAAAATATACAAGAAAACATCATAAATGGTCCCTGTGGTTGTGAAATGACCAAAATACCCTTCAGTTAACGGACAAACTTAACCCCGGTTAGCAAAAAGGACCAAACTTCAAAAGTTTTGAAAACACAGGGACCGTCTATGAGGTTTTTAAACCACGGGGACTAAACTTCAGATTTTGGGTAACCACATGGACCATGTTTTTTCTAAATATTTATTGTGAGATGTCCCGTGTTAAAGACATTTTTGTAAATTTTTCCTCATTTTTAAATTATTATATTTTCGAAAATCTCTCAACTTAACTCCCAATCTTTACACTTCGAAACTTTATTTTTCTTTCTGTTTATATACGAAATGAAATCAATATTTGCTGTGCAATAGTCCTCCATTTTAAGACATTTTCTTAAACTTTTCCCATTTATATATTAACTTATTCTTCTTCTTTAAAATTACTACATCTTACACTTTATTTTTCGTTGGGAAATTTTTTTTACCCCAAAAATTACTATTGATATACCCACAAGTCCACAACAAAAAGAACTCAAAAAATAATATATTAAATAAAAATTTATGATCTCTGCAATATATGAACAATTGAGTTGTATCTGACAGTGTAGAAAAAACAATTTTACCGTACAAATGAACTTCAACTAACCCCAAACACTTATATTTGTTCTGCAAATTCTCATAAAAACCAACATCATCAATGTATGTATTAAAGGCTCATATTAAACAAATTACATAAAAACCTATTCATAATATTAAAGAACTAAGTCATAAATAAAACATTATTACATCATACAAAAGTACAGTAGTACACTACAAAAATTTAATATCCAAAAATTCAAAATATAGATGTATATAATTCTACACTGTAAAAAACATTAAACAAATTATTAATAACAATACGGATATGGGTCCAGATACAAGATTTAGCGATTATTGTTTAATCCTTAATCCATATTCAAACTCTTGGTCTAATTGTAGCTCTAAGACTCTTCTTCATCACCACTGTGAACTCCAATTTCTCACTGAAATCGACCTTTGTGTCCTCCGGGAAGGACCTCCATTCGAATTCCTGAACCATCCGAGCTATCATCAGATTCACGTGCACCGTCGCCATGTTCAGCCCTGGGCAGATCCTCCGCCCCACCCCAAACGGCAACATCTTAACTCCGGTCACCCCTGTAATGTCTGCATCCTCGCCGCCGGTCAAGAACCTATCTGGGTCGAAATTTTTCGGGTTTTTCCACAGTTTCGGATCTTCTGCTACACCCGGTAGAAATATCTCAACATTTGTTCCGATCGGTATATCATACCCGGCTAATTTTGCAGGCTCGATAACCGAATGGGTTAGAGAAAAATAAGTGGGCGGATGTTTTCGTAATAACTCCTTTACGACGGCGTTTAGGTAGGGCATGTGCTCGACGTCTTTCTCGTCGACTCGTTTCTCGCCGACGGTGGCTTTGATCTCGTCGTAGAGCCTCGATTGTATGGTAGGGTTTTCGATAAACCTTGCGATGGCCCACTCGATCGCCGTTCCGGTGGTATCGGTGCCTCCGTTGAGGAATTCCGAGCACAAGGTGACAATCTCTGGATTCGTTGGAGGATGCTTCCGTCCCTCCACTGTTAAGTCGAACAAGGTATCCAGGTATGAGAACTCTGCCGCCGTTGGATCGGATCCTGGATTTTTCACCGCCGCTCGACGCTGCTCGATGAACGGCACTAACGTCGCAATTTGCTGCTCCCTGACTTCCATAGCTTTCTTCCGCTGCTTCGAGAAAAAAGGTCTCAGTAATGGTAGATAATCGTCGATTCTCGGATCCAGGGTGATCAAAACCGTCTTCATCATATCGTCCATTTTCTCGATCGTCTTCTCGTCCATCTCCACGCCAAAACACATCGCAAGAAGAATGCGAAACACCGCAAACCGTGCATTTCTCAGCACCCAAACTGCTCCGCCGTTCGCATCCGCCTCCATTTTCAACCGTTCAACAAGCTTATCCATGGCGGTATCCCTCACATGCCTAAACGTACGTAATTTAGCCGCACTAAGCGCGTTCTGGACCATGTTCCGCCGGAGTGACCGCCACACCGGACCGTACAACGCAGCGTTGACAGTAAATTTGTCACAGCTGAAAACCGTCCTGGTGGGATTTTCAGAGGGTCGGGTAGCGAATAATGCACCCTTTTCAATCAACGCCTCATGAACCAAATCTGCACTGGACAAGATAACCATGGTGCGGGACCCCATTTTAAGAGTGAAAATCGGACCGTATCTCGGCAGCAATTCTCTGACATACTGGAAGAAAGGCTTCCCGGAACCGGCCACCTGAAAAAGATTGCCGATGACCGGCCAACCAGGAGGGCCAGGAGGGAGAGTCAATCGCTTGGATTTAGAATTCCTTGTGAACAAAATCATAATCCCAGATACCAACAAAGCTATTGCAGCGAAGATTATATGATAATAAGGAGAGAGAACAGAAGCCTCCATATTGTTGACTGTGTTGCTGAGAGGAAAATGATAAATTTGGGAAATGATATGAGTAATGAGTATGAGAATGAGTGGGGATATATATAAAAGAGAAAAATGCATGAACTTACAGGTGGAGGTGTAATTAAGAGGATACATTCAAAATCTCCCAACTACATACCGATCAAGTGCCAACCTGGGAGTAGCCTAGTTCTCGAGTTTAAATTATCCACTAACTCGTTCAAAAAAAAAAAGCCTAGTTCTCGAGTTTAAATTATCCACTAACTCGTTCAAAAAAAAAAAAAAAAAAAAATCAAGTTTTTGGGAAATTTGCTATTATATATCTAGCAGAATATATATATATATATATATATATATATATATATATATATATATATATATATATATATATATATATATATATATATATATATATATATATATAGAGAGAGAGAGAGAGAGAGAGAGTTTAAATTATCCACTAACTCGTTCAAAAAAAAAAATCAAGTTTTTGGGTAAATTTGCTACTATATATCTAGCAGAATATATATATATATATATATATATATATATATATATATATATATATATATATATATATATATATATATATATATATATATCTTTACTACTTATAAAAGAAATCTAACTATTTCTATAAATAGATTGAATATAATAATATTATTTTTTTAAGACGTCCAAACTATTAAGCTTGAAGTACAACCCATTTATAATATAATAATATTAAAACTTTAACCATATCCTTTATCCCTTAAAAATCTCGTATCAAATTAATAGAAGAATTCATTTGCAAATTGAACCCGTCAATCTCAGCACTTCACCCATTTGAAACGGTCAATGTCAACAATTTATAGAGGATCTCTTCTCTCACATTGGTAACACACAATCTCAGAATATCTATATTCGTAATCCCTTCAAAGTAAGAAATATACGCACACTCTCTCGAAGAACCCTAACCAGTAACCAAGATAGTATAACCACCACCACCACAGCCGCTCTGCCTCCTTTCGCCTTCAATCAACCACTATCACGACTACCGCCCTTCCTCTCACCCATGACATGAACTTTCTTTTGGAACATAACATTTTTCGTTAAAAAAATATCGTTGAAAGAAGCTATTTGTCCCCGCCGCTGTGAGCGGGTAACGGCTAGTATATATATATATATATATATATATATATATATATATATATATATATATATATATATATATATATATATATATATATATATATATATATATGAGATTAGGTGTTAGACTCATATATTAAATGAGTTCATTTAAAAAATATCTAAATACAAAATTCTAAACATTTGAAAAATATGATATTATATGAAAAAAAAAATTGAATAATAAAAATTAAAATGTTTTTTTAATTTAAACAAATAAATTAGATAAATAAAGAAAATTAATGAATCTTTAATTTGGTAATTTTAAATTAGAAGGAAAGTTCATTAATGAAATTAATCATTAATATGCATATATTATTAAATATAAATACCAACAATTTAATAAAATGAAAAAACCATAAAATGATCTGTGGATTAAAAATTTATTAAAATAACCATAAAATTATATATGACAAAATAAATAAAAATATAACATGTCAAAAAGATCTTTATTTATTAGGGAGGATATATTAAGAATATTTTTAACTAGAATTTTTTTATAGTTTACTTGTATTTGTTTCTTATTTTAATAAGAGTTTTTAATGTCCTATTATTATTATTTGTTTTTTATTTAATGAGAACTTTTATATATAGTATATAAATTGTATTTTTTTTATTGGTCATTTAAAATCATTGAATCACATGTTAACTTATTGAGACAAAATTGAAAAAATGGTAGGGTCAAAATCTTTATAAAGTTATATATTTGATATTTTTTATTACTTTCATTGTGTTATATATTAGTCTTAAAAAAAGACTATTTATCCTTGTAATTTAATTTTTATATATTATTTAATATTTATTAAGAATTTAATAAATTTAAAATATAAATTAAAACTAACCTCCACCCCTACTTTCTTTTATCCCATGATGTCTCTTCCTTCCAAAATCATATATCGCCTACATGTTCTCCCCATAGCCTGCTACCGCCTACCGTCACTGGCTCACCTCAGAAGGCTCCACTGATTATGTCGTCGTTCCGATTACTTTCATCTCTTGCTTTTCTCTACTATCGACCCCTAATAGACACCTTCCACTCCCTTCCTAATCGAACACTAGAAACACATATCCACTGCCACCACCATAACCAATTGTAAAGTCGAAATGACACAACAATAAGAGGATCGACAGATGCTTCTGAAATTGATTCATCTCCTTCTTGTTGTTCTAAAATCCTTTGCGTGCAAAAATGGTTCTGGATTCAAGGGTTTATTAGGTTCCATATTCATAGGTATAGGTAAGTTCAGTATGTATGTGTGTTAATTTGCGGGTGTGTATGTGTGTGTGTTTAATTTTAAGTGTATGCGTGTTTATTTGCATGTGTGTATGTGTGTTTATTTCCATTTACAGTGGTGGAGAGTGGTGGTTGTCGCCGTAGAAGAAACCACAGGAGGAATGAAGGGGTAACAGTGAGGTCGAATATGGAGAAGAACGTGAATGTGTGGGGTTAAGGTGGGGTTGACTTTGATTTCAAGGTGACATAGGCATTTGGAGCTTCGTTTTCGATAACGAAGGTTGAAGCTAAGGCACCGAGTTGGTGGCTTCCGACGACAGTATGACAATAGTGGTCCAAAGTGGTGTAGGGGATTTTAAAGATATGGATTTAAAATAGGCGGGCATGGTGTCCTGGACGCGGGTTTGAGGGGTGGGGTTTATTTTATATTTTAAATTTATTAGATTCTTATAAAATATTAAAAATTATAAAAATTAACTTACAAGGGTAAAATGAGAAATCACACCATGTTTGCAATTTTGTCTTTTTATATATATAACATAATAATTTTTTTTTGGTATTTCTTTATATAAAATAAAGGCTATTTATATTTTGTTTGTTTGTAACAATTTAAATAAAATATATGTTTAAAAGCGATTAATTAAATGAATGAGTTTAGTAAAACATTTTTAGATAGATTAGTTAAATTTAATTTAAAAACTATTGGAAGAGATTAATCATCAGAAATATCATTTAGTTAGAGATTAAAATTATTAGAATGATGAGTTAATGATGTTTTAAGGTCGTAAGTTGTAACATAGTTTAATAATTTCCAAACATATAATATATGTAGTTGACGATATGAGATATTGATGAAAATTACCAAGGTTGTCAAGATCGTTTTTGGGTTTTCAAGATCATAATCATGATCGTAAGATCCCACAAGATAAAACATATTTTTAATTTATAATTTTAATAATAAAAAATATTTCAAACATTCAATTTTTCGCTTAAAAGTTATAAAAAATTTCAAAATACTAGTCATAAATTACAACACAAAATGATAAACGATAAATTGATAAAGGTAAAAGACATGAAATCGTAAAAAAATCATTTTCAAAAAAAGAAAAAAAAAATCAAGGGAAGGTAGGATCCCGATCCGATGATCTTACAATTATATTTGCGATTATCCCTCAAATACGATTCGACTCGTTTTTCATATCTAGGATCGTACGATCCTACGATAATATCGTGATTTTAACAACCATGAAAAATATCATTCATCTATAAATTAAAGAGTCAATTATAATTAAAAATTAGAGTTTAAGAGTAGTAAAGAAAATATAACTATATTTCTAAAAGAAAATCTTTCATTTTGCCCACAATTGTATGGTGTCTCCAATTTATTGTCGAAAATTATAGGTTTATTTTCATGTTGCCCACAATTATAAGGGCATGTTGTCATGCTTACTTTTACTTCAGTTGTTTTTATTTTCTTTTCCTACACTACACCGGTCAACACCCAAATTTTTGTGGGTCAAAGGTTTTGTACCAAAAAAGTGTTTTCTTTAATCTATTGTGAAATAAACAATTAATCACCAACAAAATAATAGATTTTTATCATGGATTTCAATTTTGATTAAGACTCTTATCATATAAAAAAAATCCACATAAAATAATTTACAAAATATATACGCATTGATATATCATTTATGATTTAAGTCTACAAAGTTTAATTTACTTTAAATAAACTGCATATTACTTTATATATAATTTATCATTTATTTGTTATTATCTATTGAACTTTAAAAAATTAAATAGAGTGTTAGGTAATCATCACATTCAAAATGTTCATATTTTATTTTATAATTATTTTGAAAACGGAGAACAAATTAAACAAACCCACAACAATGGGATGCGGGCGGAAAGAGTACAAAGGAAAAATAGAGCAAAATAAAGAAATTACAAAAAAAGAAACAGGCCTAGATTACAAACTCTCCCATCAATGTTTATGTTTATGTAAGAACCTCTATGTTTACACCAAATAAAGGTTACCGATTTTACCCTTTCCGCAGTCTTTGCCGGAACAGATGGAGTATTGTTGAACACCCTATTGTTTCTATCATGCACCATAATACTTCATATAAAATTGTATTAAGCATGCTTCTTTTCTTTTTGTTTTTGGACCAAATAAACAGTAAGATATCCCTAACATATTTGAAGCCGTAACACCTGATTTCACACCACTTGAGGATCTCATCCATCACAGCTTTCGCCAAAGAACAAGATATTAGCAGATGATCACTTGTTTCTTCCTCATGATTACATGATCCACAGATGACTGAAGGGATAGTAATCCCCTTATTATGTAGTGTTACCGCCAAGGGAATTCTACCTTGCTTCGCTCTCCACAGAAAACATAGTATCTTAGTATCTTACAACAAAGTTTTTATCCAATACGAATTCTAATACCCAGTAGTTACTTTCCTCATTCCATGATATAATCTCTTTTGGGTCGATATTAACCTGCTTTATTGTGTTCCGT